GGAATCTCCCTTTGTGTTATGAGACCTTAACAGCAAAGAGAGTTCATTGGTTCCAGTTTCAATTCTTCCCAGCTCAAGGCAGCCTTTGCAGGGGCACAAATCACAGTGTAATGAAAAATTATATAGATCTCAGTGCAAGCCAGGGATATATATTTATCCCAATAATATTTATGAAGAGCATATTATCTAACACACAGTCTCTTACAACTTAGAAAAACACTACTGGAAAAAAATGTAACTAACCCTGCATCCATTTGAGGGAGGAAAAATAATGACCAAGGTGATATAAATGTAAACTCTGAAAGTCTGTGGAGCAAAGGATAAGTTAAAAAAAAAAGAAGAAACTTGTGGTTATTTTAAATTGAAGCTCTATACATGTTTATCTACATCTGTAAATTCTAGGTAAGAAAATCCATTTGGAATGAGAGTGTAATTTTGCTAGTTAATGGTTGGATATGTAAAGACAGAAATGTTCATTCAAAGTAATAGTTCAAGGTAAAGATTTTAAAAAATCTTAAAAGTAACAACTTTTGAAAGATACATTAACTAATGACAACTTATTGGAAATGTACTTTAGCCATTGAGGTACATTTATAATGCCTATGATGAAATATTTGGGTCAATAATGAAGATAAAAATAATTGGTATCAAAAATGACATGAGAATATGTGATAATTTCATTTAACAATGATAAGAAATAACACTGAATTTAAGACTCATAAAACATATATAATTTATATTTTCTAAAAAAATTAACTTTAAAAACTTAGCTTTAGGATATGCAAACAAGTTAACATAGTAACATGTGTACTTTAAATTTTAGAAAAGTACATAAAGACAAAAACCATCATAGAAAAGTAAAAATGACTCTATGGCCTAGAGCTATAAAAAAAACAGTATCTAGAAAGCTTTGATATTCCTGTAAACATATTATTGAGTTACATAATATAGATATATTTACAATGAAGAAAAACAGTTGAAACTAAAGAAACCAAAATGATTGCTCTGTGGACCTCCCTAACAAATTTTGGTTTTACACGTTAAAGAAAAAAGAAAAGGTGATCAAGCATTCACGTAGTGTACATTTGTGTGTATAAATATATGTGTGACCACACAGTAATCTTGATAAATCATTTAATAAACATGTCATATTGATATAAAGAAAGTAGAATGCCATGTTTAAAGTTACATAAAAGGAGACTACAACAAAATATTTAATAATGATAAAAATATACAGTAATTTAATGGGACAATTGTTTTGCATTGAGAGAAGAGTTTAAGTATAAGCTTAATAACCAAATGTAGGGAATATTAGAAAATGACTTCTTGTAATACATGGATGGTTGGATTAAAAGATCCTCAGTTCCTTTCCTACCTAAATGATTATGATATTCAATACTGCTTGGAATTTCCTTCCAGCCCTCCTTTAATACAAGCCACCAAGAATATCCCCCACAATTTGTCCAGAAATTAATTAAATGTTTCAATCATTAGCCACATTTGGGTATTCCTGAATTCTAAGGTTCAGTATTCATAATTTTCTTATGTTCTCATTCTTTCTTTTCTAGCTAGTGAACATATCTAATAGTATTCTGACATAGATGTATGTCAGTAATTTCAGCATCAACACTTAGAATTGAAATAAAAACTTCATCACTGTATCAATTTGCAACCTTCAAATATAGAAGTAATGTATTTTGTATGAGAATTGAACCCAGAAATGAATTCTTCCTCAATACAAAGACTGATATAATGCAAGGCTAGTCCATTTGTACTGAAACATAAAGATATTGTAACAAATCAACCAAACAACAGTAGCAACAAATACCATGTAATTGGGCTAAACTGATCATGGTAAAATGAAGTTCCAAAGTCTCCCTCTTCAACTCATTCCTACATGTATCAACTCACATAGTCAGGAAATTATTGTTTATATCTAACTTGGTGTCTTTCAATGTAGTATAAACTCATTTCCTTTTTCTTGCTTCTCTGTGATAGATATCTCAATAAGCAGGATGATTTTATTTTCCACAAAATGAGAAACAGAAGTTAATAAGGTCATATCAACCATAAAAATCATGTACAATAATATTCATAATGAAGGACTCCAATAGCATTATAAAATAGGTTGACAGCTATCCTTGCTGTGCTGAAAATAAAATATTTTGATAACAATAACATGCCTAGTTTGTCCAAGTAAAAGATGTTAGCAGCCAGATATTTCCATAGATTGAATGGCAGCAGTTATAATGAAAGTGCAAGACAATTTGTGTAGATCGATAATACTCTTCAAACAATTTACACATCATTTCTGCTTCTTGCTAAAGTATATCAACTAGCCTGTGGTATAGATACAATGTGCTTGTAAAAAAATAAAATTGATTTTTTTTACTGATGCAATGTAAAAGGATTACAAATTATTTTATACTATTTAAGTATATACAACTTATTTTGCAGTGTTCAGGACTGCAATAATATGCAACTGTTTAAATAATTCTGAGTGTCTCTGAATAATTATGAATAAATTCATTGAGATAGAGTATTATCTTAAAACAATTATCTTGATATAATCATCAAAACTTCATCTGTTCATTAACTTCAGCTACACACAAGCAGTTTACATAGTTGATGGAAGGTTGGTGTTCTTTTTGACTATAAAAAAGTAAAATTGTGATTTTTTTTTTGAGACAGGGACTCACTTTGTAGCTGGAGCTGGCCTTGAAATCATAGCCATCCTCCTGCCTCAGCCTCTCTAGGGCTGGGATTCATGTGTGTGCTAGAACATTCAGCTTCAAAATTGTGCTTTTTAAAAATGAAAAATAAAAGAGATGCTACAATATCTTTTAAATACCAAGGTTCCTATCAAACAACTCATTTTTACTACCCCCAAGACCATGTTGTCATTTGCATGCTGGCCAAATGAAGTTCAATTTAGATAACTCCATGGTGGCAGGCACCCTGAGGCCTACAGAAATCTGGAGGACATAGATGATGCTTTCAATTATTTCCCATGAATGGTTTAGCTGGTCTTGACATCAGCATGGACCAAGGTGTTGTGAGTGTGAGGCGTGAAGTGAATAATTATTCGGTTAGTATATTTTCCTAATTAATTTATATACACTTGATAAACTCACATGACTTGAACCTGAAAATTCCAGTGTTGTGGTCCCTGGATAGAATTAAGGCTTTCTGGAGTAAGAATGCTGGACCTATCTTTTTAAAGCTTTGGAGAGATGTCTTTTGATAGAAGGAATACACTTCCAGAAATTTTAAGATCTAGAGAAGTCTATTTCTTTTAAAATGTTATTTTTTTAGTTAAGGAAAACGATATTGAAAATGTTGCTCTCCGCAAGCAGGAGTTTTATGGATATTTAAGTTAAGGATGCCCAGCAGTAACTGCACAGGCACAGACATTGCCCTTACCATGAGGTAAGTGAATCACTAGTGCAGCTAGTCCAGGGGGTGGGGGTGAGGCAGAAGCAGTGCTCCGACAAACAACTCATCAGAGGGGAAGTTAGTGACATTTTTGCCAAAGTATGCCCAAATGAGAGAAAAACAAAACAAAACAAAATATAGAGCCAACTTCAAGACAAAGGAGTGGTTCAGATGTAATATCGAAATATTTCATAAGCAATGCTTTTCTTAGTGGTCCTGACCTGTGTCTCTAGCCGCTCACAGGCTCAACTGCCTTGATCTATGACCTTGAACGTGTACCCATCTCTAGGATACAATTATTACTATGTTTTTCTAATCTTGGGGACATACTGGCTGTTGTCCATCTTTTCTTTTTTTTTGTATGCTTACCCTTCAAAATTTGCACCACATGGGAAAAATACAGTCATTGCTCAGCTCATTTTTCTTCACGAGTGTATGGTATTTATCACTATTGCATGGTTATGGATTTTCTGTCTGGAAGGTTAGGCCATCTGCCCTCCCAAACTCTTGATGAAGGTAATGTGTGTGGTAGCCTTCACTATGGCAAGATGCTGGGTCCATTTTCCCTTTTGAAATTGTTTCAAGTTAGAATTAGGTATTGGCAAAATCAGAAAGAAACTGGTCCTAGTAAATCAAAACCCAGAAAAGGTGAAAAAACAATCCAACATAGGAATATCAATGAAGTTAAAGAGCCTGCTTTAGTCTCATGCTGGAGGATGTAGAGGGTAATAAAGAATAATAACTGTGTGGCTAGAAACTGAGAGATACCAGCTGAACTGTGAACATACCTGAGATCTCTAAGGAAAAGGAGAATCATTACAAAACATGGTAGAAAAATGTAAAGACAGCCAGAAAACACAAAAGGAGCTAAAGTAAACTCAGCTAAAACAAAGATTTTTCCCAGGTAATCCTTGCTCATTGGTTCATTGCAAACATTCAATAAAGTGGAGTCAAATTCATCATTGAATTATCAAATCATCCATTAATTTGTTCATTTTCATAAAATTGATTTCATATCTAGTTTATCTTCTGTTTACCGAGCATGTGCTCTGAAAGAATGTGGCTATTACTGGATAGCATTACAAATACGGTCTAAACAGCCGAGAAGAAATTCTAGGATTTAGATTCCATCATATATTATGTTACATGGAAAGCAAATATAGAGAAATAAAAAGGTATATACTCTATATGAAACAATTCAACAGCAACTATGTTTTATCACATTATAGTAAAATATCTCTAAATTTATTTATCTCTTAGATTCTCAGGCATAGTAAGCTGTAATATATACTTGTTAGTTAAATATCTTCCCAGTTTCTAATGAATCAATGTGTTGTGTCATGTCATGATCCTAGTTTTCCATTCTTAAATGACAGGTAATAATGTCATTTGTGTGTCATCACTATACATTTTGAATGCAGTCTTAAAATATAATTATTCTTGAAATTTCAAAACACATACTTGTAAAACTTGAGATGAATAACTTTCATTTAAAATAATAAAAACAGTAACATTGGATTGTCTTTGAACTAAAGTAATAGATGCAAAATCATAGTGGTACTTACCACAGTGAAATTCATAACTTTCAATATCCATATTGTCATGGCTAAGTTAACTATCGTGGTAACCAACAGCAGAAGGACAAAGAAGTATAAGCACCTCTTTCGCCATCCATAAATTCCCACTGGATACAATTGTGCATTTTCAGTTCTTGGTAGGTGGTTCTGTTGTGTTGCTAAAATGTATTGTTCTCGTGTCATCTGGAGAGAGAGGGATACAGAAAGGAAGAAGGAGGGAGGGAGAGAGAGAGAGAGAGGGAGGGAGAAAGAGGGAAGACAAAGGAGGGAAAGGAAGTAAGGAGGAGGAAGAAAGTAGAGGGAAGGAAGGAGTAAAAGCAGGGAAAATAAAATGGAGAAGGAAGGAAGGAAAGAAAGAAGGGAGGGAGGGAGGAAGGAAGGAAAGAGGAAAGGAAGGAGGGAAGGGGAAGGGGAAATGGAAGTTAAGGGAAAGAAAGGAAAGTAGGAGAAATAGAGAAAGAGGGAGAAGCAAGGAAAAATAAATGAAGGGAAGAAGAGAGAGAGAGAGAGATTAAAAAATAAAATCCACACTTTCTGTGTAAATCAAAAGAGGTAAGGACTTAATAATGGGTAATGAGTACTCACATAATGATTGTTGTATAATTAAAATGTTACACTCTCACATTATTGTCATCAATTCTGTTCACAAGAGTTGCCTGAGAGCTATATCTAGAAGCACACATTATTTACAGGTAGATTTGCTCATTCCAACAAAAGACTGCTCTCCTATCTCCACATCAAGGTATCTAAAATTCAACAACTCTTCCCACATCCAAGTTTGAGAAAGCTAGAGACCAAGTATATCACAGTTTTCTTTACCTCTCTCCAAAAAAAGGTAAAATATAAACTTCAGCATAGGTTTCAATAAAAATTATCAATGTATTTGCAAGAATCTATGGAAAGAAAATATTCTTTGATCTAGACATATTGATAGAGATACATAATTAAAATTTTATTTTGCATTTTGTTGATTTATTTTATGAAGGTGAGAGTATGTTGGTTCATGAACTTAATTGATCTACAGTTTTGAAAAAGATGGCCAGGTTTGTGTTGATGTGAGAAAGATGGCCATGGTCATGTTTGTCACCTGATGCCGAGTTTGTAAAAGAAAACAAATTTTTCCAAACACTCCTGCTTGTCAACCAAATTGTTTGAAAACAAAAACATTTATAAACCAAGGTACCACTATATATGCAATATAGTATCATTGAGAGATACTACAATGATAATCTTGGTAATAAAATGAGAAATCCTTTAACGATGCTAGAAGGAGAATGCCTTTCAAAGTAAGTGACACCTGAAAATATTGAATGTCTTGAAGGAGAAAGGTGAAATATCTGTCAGCATTTGAAATCCTAATTAGAGTGGGGTGAAAACAAAATGAAAAATGAGGACGTGGAAACCACAGATATAGACATTTTTTGAGAGATGAGGAATAGCAAAGACATGGAGTTACAGACAAGTGTATGTTTTCCAGCATTGGAGTATCAGCCAGGGGCCAGTAAAAGACTATATGGATGACAGGAAAAAGAGGAAGGAAAAGCACGGAGGAATTTTGAATACAGGGGCAGCACCTGAGGAGACACAGCTGGGATCATACTGTTATGTGGTGTCAGAACCAGAGAGGCTGACAGATCACCAGGTAGCCAGGCTACTCAAAGTGGAGGCAATACAGATGGGTTATAAGTGTTATAACCCCATAAGAATAGTCTTTGTTCTCCGTGACTAGACCTGATGGGGAGATCTGAGGATACGCACAACTGAGAATAGCTGTGAGATGGTTGGAGTCTGCAGGTGCATGGCTCTGGACAAGAGGGGCTGAGCACTGTCTCTTTATCATTGCCCCCTCTTCAGGGGCTCATTATTGTAGCACAAACTTATTCCATTTGGGTTTCTATGTCTGAGAACTGGAATTAGTAGAGTCTTCTTTTTTATGCCCTTTTCATTTTCATTTCAGTTTGATCGTTTATTTTCTGAAACTGGAAGTGGAAGAAGGAAGGCATAAGTGAATGTTACCAGATCTGTCATCTTTCTGGATGTATATAAAATAATCTAAGAAGGATTAGACTCTTAACATCTGTGAGACTAGAAAAGAAGAACTTAATTAAGTTTACAATGCTGAAGAAAATTGTTTAAAATTACTGTTTGCTATATTAAGGGTAAAAATAAAAGCTTTGTATGGAATGTTCTGTTTTCTTTTCTGCAAGACAGCAGTGACTCAAGAGGATGACTAAGTGACCCTGCCAAGTGTGGGCCCCTCTCTATCTTCACAAACCTCAGGACAGACTCTGATGATTTAAAGTGGCTAAAAGAATAGAAAACTTGGGAGAAAGATTGGAACATAGCTTTTTAAAATTTAAGTCTGGAGGAAGGTTGGAACGTAACTTTTTCAAGTTTGGTTTCATCAAAGTAAGAAAGAGGTCTTTCAAGCTTTGTACAAAAACTCAGCTGTTGGGAACCTATTATCTCCAGTTCACATTTTACCAATCTGATGATAAAGCCTAAAAAAAGAACCCAATTTTATATTAGAAGTGCTGTAATTAATGTCATTTTTTAAATAAAACATTTGATCATTTCATCACATTATCCATATAAATACTGAGTGTAATGGAGAAGTGAAAACACAGAGGCTGGAAGAAAACAGTAAATTATTTGTTTGCCTCCCATGTTTATCTGATTCTTCAATTTTAAAATATAAATCAAGCATCTAATTTCTACCTAGATCTGTCCTTCCTCTAAGAGAAATCTGGACATAAGCAAGAAGCACATTTCTCTTGGACAGTAAACTGGATAATTTGTGAAATTGTTTTTAATTATGAAGCCAGTCCTTGTCAGACTGAAGCAGCAATAAGCAACATCTCTGTGACCATAAAAATTAAATTCAGTTTCCAAACCTCTGACATTCCTCATTGGGAATGCTTATATTCCAGAAGTAGTAAATCATATTGGAGTCACTGCTCACTAAGTGTTGATCTTGTATTTAACAAAACAATTAACTGCTGCTCGTCAAGACAAGAAATGGAACATGAGAGGCTAAAAGCAGTCCCAGACTTACATGCTAAGCTGCAATCCCAATGTGGGCATTTCATGGTCATTGGCCTGGGACAAGTCACTTGGCCTCTTTCTGGCCCACTTTCCTCAACTCTCAAATGAATGCTACATTGATTTATATAAGGGCAATCTTGGAGTCAGAAAATAGGATCTTAAAGTATAATTTTCACTTTAAATAGTAAAAGAGGTCATTTTAAAAATTTATCTCCTACCCTTTTGCTAGTGTCCCTTACTTAAATGCTGTATAAGTATTTTTTTCCTGGAATTAATTTTAAGAGACACAAGTGAAATACAGTTTTCAAAACAAAATTATGTGCTGTGAGCTTCACACACCAAAAGATATTTAGTTTTGTGGTCCAAGAAAATGAGTCTCTAAACAGCTACTAATTTTGAAAAGTTTGGAAACAATACAGTAAAGTCAACTTACTATGGCAATTTAAACTTTTCCTATCCATGATACTTAATGTACAAAGGCACATTTCACCATAATGGTAGTGAAATTTTGTTATTTTGGAAAAATATTCATTTGAAATAGATTATTTTTTCATTTAGTTTATGGGAAAAATCCTGCAGCCTGGTTTATAGCATGGGGAAAAAGTTTAAAAAAATAAAACAAAGCCCTCACACTGAATTTCAAGAATGATGAAAGATAATCGAAGTCAAATATCCCTTGTTGGGATGGGAAGTAGAAGAGGATTCTAGACAAGCCTGACAGAAAGAGGAGCTTGAATAGGCATCAAAAGGGACACACACATTCCCGGAAAATGAAAGTTTTATTAAAATGTGGTCACTTTGGAAGAAGAAAGGGAGGGGAATGGGGAAAAAATAACTAAGAGAGATTATGTAAAGGTGCAAATTTCCAATGATGAATGTCATCATATCGTATACCTAAAATGTACGAGTAAAATTAATTTAATTCTGTAATAAAAAAGAATTAAGATATATGCATATACCACCTCACAATAAATATAATTATTATATACTACAAACATGTGCTAAACAATTAAAATAAATAAAGAATAAAAAATAGACTTTTAAAAAGGGAATTTTTATTTACCCAGTAGTTGTTCCCACTCATTTTAGCTAACGCATATACCTGAAAATTAAGCATGTTTACTTAGGAACTATTTATTCAGCATGTAATTAGATACAAATTCAATCATAATTTTGATATTTATTTAGATAATAACTTGAATTTAGGCTCTTAACATGGGAGTAATTCAATTCTCAGATTTCCTCTGTGACATGAATACAAAAGCGATTTGGAAGGAGGGTGAAAAGTTTTCACCTACTCAGAAATTATCAACAGCAAGCACTAAACCAGCAAAGACAGTCTCAGGCACCATTTACAGTAAGTTTGGAAACATGAGACACCTCTTGGCAAGTATTGCTGCACATTCACAGGAAAGGAAAAGGAAAAACCTTTTTAAAAAATTGCCAGAAACACAACAGAGGAGCTTCACATTACAAGCAGAAAGCCTCCATTATTTACAATTGTAATGACTGGCAGGAAAACATTCTTGAAGAACAGCAGTGAAACAAAGAATATGAGAAAGAGTAAAGGATATTGGATTTTACTGTTACATCAAGAGAAAAAAAAACTTAATAATAAGTAAAGGATGATAGAGTTTGGCTTCCATAACCCTGGTGATGATCTAGAAAGCACCACTCTTTTTTTTTTCTTTATTTATTTTTGATACTGGGGATCAAACTCAGGAACTTGTGCTTGCAAAGCAGGGAGCAGAACCACTGAGCTAAATCGCCAGGCCAGATTTTTGTCAACGAAGTCTTGCACATAAAATTCAAAACACTATTGATAGCCATTTTTCTACTATGAAAACTTTATATTTTACCAAATTAATATACATGATGTAGATAAAATGATCATTACTGTTTAAATTTAGGCTCCTACATGAGACTATCTAATGAGGAAAAAGCAGATGACCAATAATTAAAGTTTAACGTTCTTGAACTGTTAAGATATTTTAAAAAATAAAGATAAGTGTCACTTTTGAAATAACAAGTTAGATTAAGTGAAGAAATGGATACCAGTCCAGCATTCAAACACATGACAGAGGTAGTAAAAAAAAATCTGAATAGCCTGAATGAAGTGGAATCACTGCAGGTAGACC